TCTATGGCATCTCAAGTGTATTTGCGCACCAGGAACTCCTGTTCTTTGCTATGTTGTTCAGGTCCCACGTGGAGGTAGTCTGGAGCCAGTGTCTTGAGAAACTGTGTCCTTGAGCATGGGACCTGACAACAATGGGGGCAGGAAGAGGAGATGAAATTTTCAAGGGGTTCTGAAATAATTCCTTGTGTATCTAGGTCTGCTATTCCTAGGGACTTCTATTTGTTCCCATGCACATATTTGAGGCAAAGTGGAGGAGCTCCCATATTGGTCCTTCCCATGTCTCAGTACTAGTTGTAGCCAGCCTGCGAATGGCAGATGGTGGGTATCCAGGCCTGTGCATGGAGAGTCTGTCTACAGGTGCAGAAAGAAATGTGCATGGGGATTATACCTAGTGTGCAAACCGTGGCGTGGACTTTAGTGTCTATCCCCTGACCTCTGCTTTTGCCCAGTGTTGAGCAGCCCTGAGTTCTTACCACTTGAGCTTCCAATTCCTGTCTCCCACACCAAATCCAAGACCCTTATGTTGGATCCTGCCACCACCTCCCCATCTTTAGAAACAGCTTGGTTTCCTCTAGCTCATTCTTTCCCCACTTCATGCCAGTGAGAGTCACAGAGTACAAAGTGCAAAAGGACTACACTGGAGAGCTCAATGACAGATGATGGTCATGTTACCAGCAATTCTATTCCTGATTTCAGAGCAGTTTCTACACAACATAAGAGCAAAGCCAGATGGTCTTGCCACATGGATGAGATATCCAGGGATCAGTGGTTCTTCTTTGTTCTGTATCCCTCATTTTGAAGAGGCTAAGGGAAGGTCTGAGTGCTCAAAAGTCACCCAGGCAGCTTTAGGTGCCCATGTGAAGGGGTAAGTGGCTTGAAGAGTCATCCTCCAGAGGGGGCCAGTGCAAGTCCTCCAGTCAGGTAGGTTGGGGTGAGCCTCTTCTTTACCATCTCTGCTGAATGTAAGTTGGTCCTCAGTCCTCTGAGGTGGCATCTTCTGCCCCAAGGGGCCCAGGGAGATGTGTGTGTAGGTACATGACTGTCCTGGTTTTGATGAAGAAGGACGATATTGGAGATAATAGTGTAGGAAGGGACCAATGCAGGATATGATGGCACCAGCAATGTGCTGAAGCTCTGAGGGCAGCCTACTTGTGGGAATAAGTGGGAGCTCTCAGGTCGTAAGAGGGAGCTGTATTATCAGACTCTGCTTCTGCAATGACTGAGCTTTGGTTCTTCTTTACAGTGGGAGATCAACAAGGAAGGTGATTTTCAAAGTGGGCTCTCTGGATTGGGAAACAGGATATGTATGCGAGCTTGTAAGAGGGCATTGTCTGGGGATTGGCAAAGACTCCTGGGGGAAGTTTTAGGTGAGCTAAGCCTTGTCAGGGGGAAGGGCTTGTGAGGGTCATCCTGTCAGATCTTCAGGTCAGAGATGGCAGTTAGAAAGTGTTTCCCAGATAGTTGCTGAGGGTCACATCAGAGAGAATGGAGTATGACAATGGGAAGTGTCCCTGTAACTAAATATTGTTTAGTCCCTTTCTGTCACAAACCACTCTGTTTCATGACATTGTTTTGTCCTACTTTAGACACACCACAACTCCTTTTTCCCCAGACTGAGGTATAAGATGGGAATGGGTACTTCCCCACATCTCGCCTCCTTGTCTCCAGTCCAATGACCAGCATGCTTACCTGCACCAGGTCCGGCGTGAGGCGCTTGGCCTGCAGCCATTTCTGGAATCTTCCTGTTTTCCTCAGGACATGCTCAATGCTGCACGTCCTTGGGGCTGCTGCGGAGGCACAGATTCTCCTTTCTGAGATCTCATTTTGGTGTTTGCTGACCAGCCTCGAGATCTCCACAGGGCGCCAGGTTTTGGAATCATCCGAATAATTTGCAGGGTAAGAAGGCAAGTAGTCCAGAGGCAACTCGAGGTGAGAGGCCAGCCATTTGTCAAACCTGGAAGAATAGCCCTTTTAGGACCTTCCTGGGGGCTGAAGGGATGAAGTAGGGGCCAAGCAGGGATGAGCAGAGTCTGGGGGACAGTGAGACAGGGGACAACATCTGGTCTGATGCATTTCTCCTCCTTATACTGATATGTTCCAAACTCTTTCTGTGAGAGGACTATTTTTGTTTCCCCAAACTTAGGGAAGTATATATGTGATGTCAGAAAAGGTGAAGGAGGTGCATGCCAGGCACAAACTTTATCCTCTTCATGAAACTGGCATAGAACTAACCATGGCCTCTGAATTTCTACTCCTTGTAAAGATGGAAGCTTTACACATGCTGATACCTTTGATTCTTCTAATACCCCATCCCCACTTTACAGATGTGGAAGCTGAGGCTGATAGACCTTAAATACCTTGTTCAAGGTCAGACAATATGTTGTCAAGCAAACCCAGAGCCCTCTGTCAGCAAAACCCATTGTTCCCCCGCTCCCCTACACTAGTTCCAGAAACAAGCCACTCTTTGACCAACAACCAGGTCTTAGAACTATAGTTTTTGAAGAGGTTTCTGGGCCTGCACTGGGGAGACCACTGTCTCTTCATATTCAATCCCAAGCATTCTCATCAATTTTTCTTTCAGTCCAAAGATATAAATCATCAGTTCTAACCAAGTCACAGTGAACGGAGGTTGCTAAATGGTCACCAAATTCAAAGCTATCTGGGATCCAGGAGGTGTGTAATTCTACACAATAGCCTGGTTAGTCCTGAATGCTCCCCAGGAGAGAGGCACTGTTACTATCTGCTGATTTCCTAAGACCCGCTTTGACCCCTTTCTCCAGTCATTTCTCCAGCTGTATGCAGACATTTCCATTAGGAAAGGATGTTAAATCTGGTTTATGCATGAAAAATTACTAAGATAGCATTTACTTTCATTATTATTAATAATTGAAGGTTATACTTCAAATGAAAATTAGGCTTTTAAGATATATTATATGTTTAAATAAGAATCTTTAAAAACTTATTTTGGGGCATTATTGGGCAAACTCATGATTATGAGTTTTGGAAAAATTAGCATTTTGATTAACCCCAAACCCTTGATTGTTTTGTTTCTTCACTAATATGACACAGCTTTACCTTAAGAGACTGCAAGCTCTTCAAAGAAGGTGCTTTAGCAGAAGCTATTAATAAGTACTTTCTGCAATGCATAACCATTCAAAATGCAATGACAGTAGGCGCAAAGAATTCTGTTCAAGAAAATTGCCACATATGTAGTTAAAAAGACAAAACACTGTGAACTTGCAATCAGTCAATTTTACTGGAATTTCCAGGACAACCATGGGACATGATCATCTTTTCTGGGAGGGTAAGGAAGGATCTTGGGCCCCAAGGCAGGCCTGTCTGCCTGTTTCCTGCAGCTATCACTGCTCATGGGAGTTCAATCCCTTGCCCCTAAAAGAGCATATGACTAAGGATTTACAACTAGGTGACTCTCTTAGATAATGATAGTAGCAACACATTTATGAAACATAGTGTGCCAGTCATTTAAAAAAATGCTTTAGGTGTATTAACTCAGTTAAACCTTTCAACAAGCCTGTGAGGTCAGTACTGTTAATAACCATACAAATGAGGAAACTGAGGCACAGAGAAGTTAGTAATTTACCCAAAGTCACACAACCAGGAATTGGAGGAAGTGGCTAGTGTTCAGGCCTCTGGAGATTGCAATCTTAACCACGTTGCCATTGCTTAGTCTTCTATCATCCAGTTTATGAATTAACTCTTGGGAACAGATCGATGACATTTTAGGAGTTATAAACTAGCAAGGTCTTTAAAGATTATTTTGTCCCTGCTGCCGTCTCCATCATATTTTGAGGATGAGAAAATTGAAGACGACTTGTCTGAAGAGTAACAGACAAGTGGCAGAGAGGGACAGATCTTAGGGCTCCTTGTCTCCCAGTTGGTGAGAGCTGTGTAGGGAGGGACACTCTGCCATGTGAGACAAGCTCATTGTCCTTTTTCTCTATCCCCACCTCCTGAAGAGGTTCTGCTTAAAAGACAACACTGACTTAGTAGGTAACCTGTAATGGATGCCTGGTGCATATTCATCGGTGGCTCAAGGTGTTCCCATAAGGACCAACTGAGGACAAATAAACATATTTACAAGCCACACATCTCCCCCATTCAAAATGGTAATAAATGTATGGCATTGAATGAGAAAAATGTAAATGTATATTCTTACTACTTTGATTACCTACTTTATTGAACAAAAAAATATCAGTGAGAAAACAGGCCCTACTTATTATTCATTGGACTGTTTTCATTTTTATTAATTTATAAATTTTTAATTCATTTTTATTTCAGTCCAAGGTATGCTAATATCCTAGAATTTGGAAAACCAAAAAAAAAAAAAAAAAAAAGAGGCAGCATTTTAATCTTTCTGGACTGAGATCATGAGCATATTTGAAGTGAGGCTGGCCAAGTTCTCCTTGTGTTGAAAGATGGAAAGCAGGATCATAATTTCCAGAACTAGAAGGAAGCATAAAGGGTGTGTGATCCAATACCTCCAAGCTCCTTTATATGCTGGGCAGGTTGTGAATGTGGGGGAGAGTGACAGCACTGCATAAGAATAAAATGCCCTCTTCTCTTGTATACTTTTTGTGCTTGCATCCAGTCAAAAAGCTGTCTATAGATGTGCTGTCCTAAGTATTTTTTGTCTCTCTTCCTTCTTCTTCATCTTTAAGCTCTGCACAAACCCTTTAAATATTGAGCATCTTCTCAGAGTTCTCAGGACACAGTTTGTACTTTTTAGACCA